AGATGTCTTTTTTCATTTTTGAAATTCAATTTTAAGGTAATCATTTCTTCCTGCCTTTTTCTCACTACTTCCCGGTTTCACAGTTGACCCTGGGCCCTGGGCCCTTTTTTAGGAAAGAGAATTAGGGGCTGTTTCTTGACTCTTTACCCATCTCATTATGCTGCCCCTTGTTCATGTTGTGTAGATAGGGTAGGGTATCAAAGGGAAGGGTCACATATCCTTCATTTTTTCAATAGGCTCTTAAATGCTATTTCTATTGTTGGGCAGTTTTGGTTCTTCAGAGGCTTTTATGGGCCTCTATGTAAAACCAACCAACCTACAAGTATATCTACATATAACTGTATGCATACACAAGCATTACAAAAAAGGTCTGTAGTATATATACCAAACTGAAAGTAATGTTTATCTCTGAGAAGGGATGAATTGAGAGACATGGGTGTGGGCATCCCAAGGAATATTTTTTTTTTTTTGCGGGGTGGTGGGTGTGAGTACTGGGGATTGAACTCAGGGGCACTAGATCACTGAGCCACATCCCCAGCCCTATTTTGTATCTTAGAGACAGGGTCTCACTGAGTTGCTTAGCGCCTCACTTTTGTTGAGGCTGGCTTTGAACTCGCAATCCTCCTGTCTTAGCCTCCTAGCTGCTGGGATTATAGGCATGTGTCACTGCGCCTGGCCCCAAGGAATATTTTTGCTTCATTTGTGTTATTTGATTTTCTGTTACATGTAGAATGTGCCTTTGAATATTTCATTAATTAAACATATATGAAAAGCTATATATTGAAAATAATGTGAAAATTCACCAAAAGAAAATTATTTCCTTCTAAATTAAAAAAATAAAAGAGTTCTTTTTTTTAACTTCTAAATTAAAATACTGATATGTTCAGAAACTTAAAAAAAAAGCTGCATTTTTAGGTTAAGTTTTATGGTAAAGGTCTGGCGCACTTTGAGATAATAGTGTTCAGTTTCTTTTTTGGGGGTGAGGGGGACTGGGGATTGAACCCAGGGGAGCTTAACCACTGAGCCACATCTTGAGCCTTTTAAAATATTTTATCTAGAGACAGGGTCTTGCTGAGTGGCTGTGACTTTGCTAAATTGTGATCCTTTTGACTTAGCATCCTGAGCCTTTGGGATTACAGATGTGCGCCACCCCTGGCATTTAGTGTTTAGTTTTATATGTGTAAATGGGTACTTATTTTTAAAAATTATATTTGGAGTGTAATTTTTCTATTTCACCCAAGTTATCAAATTTAGTGGCCACAATAGCCCTTTATTATTTTAATATAATTTGTAGGATCTTTTTGCTGTCTCCATTCATCCTTCTTCTTGGTAATTTGTATATTCTGTTTTTATTCTTGATCATTTTTGCTGGTAGTTACCAGTTTTATTCACCTTTTTCTAAAGGATACAGTTGTGGCTTTATTTATTTTGTCCTTTTGCAGCCTGTTTTCAATTTTATTGATTTTTGCACTTTGGGTAATTTCTCTGAATATTGAGAAAGGTTCATTGACACTTTCTTCTGCTTTATCTCATATGTTGTTTATTGTATCCAGTGAAAGTATTTCATATATGTTTCTTTTAATTCTAGGGTGTGTTAATCAGCTTTTTATTACTGTGACAATATACAAGAGAAAATCAACTTGAGGGAAGATTTATTTTAGTTCATGATTTCAGACTGTGTTCACTTGGCTCCATTATTATGGGCTTTTGGTGAGGCAGAACGTCATGTCAGGGAGCATGGAGTGGAGCACAACTGCTCACCTTAGTGGTTGGAAGCAGAGAGAAAGAAAGGTGGAGAGGGGTCAGGGAGGGATATACTTTACTGGGGCATACATCCATTTCCTTCAGCTAGACCTGATTTCCTACAGTTTCCACCATCTTTCAGGAGTCCATTCAATTATGAATCCATCAGTGGGGTCCATCCTTTGATGAGATCAGAGTCTCATGATCCAGAGACCCACCTGTGAACATTGCTGCAATTGGGGACCAAGCTTTCAAACATCTGAGCCTTTGTGGGACATTTCAGATCTCAACTATAACAAATGGTTTCAATTTTTTTTTAAGGTTTGGTATTTCTGTTATCTGTTGAGATTTTTTTGTTTTCACTCATTAAGATTATATTTTATTATAAGTCAATGGGCTATGAATAATAGTTGTTAAAATTATTTCTTTAATTTATGTCTTGTTTGCTTTTTTCTAGCTTCTTAAGGGGGGAATCTAGTTGATTAAAAACTACTTCTTTTCTAATGTTAGCATTCAAGCTTCTAATTTCCCTCTAAGCACTGCTTTGGCTGGAAATTATAAACTTTATGTATTTATTTATTTGGTACTGGGGCACTCAACCACTGAGCCACATCCCCAGCCCTTTATTGTATTTTATTTAGAGGTAGAGTCTCACTGAGTTGCTTAACGCCTCACTGTTGCTGAGGCTGGCTTTGAATTCATGATCCTCTTGCTTCAGCCTCCTGATCCGCTGGGATTACAGGCATACACCACTGTGCCCAGCTTGCAAACGATAAACTTTAATGTTTTCTTTTATTATTATTCTGTTAGAATTGTTTTCAGTTTTCTTTATGACTTCTTTTTCAACTTATGAAAAAGTATGTTTAATTATTTAAAAGTATGTTTAATTTTCAAATATTCTTGATTTCTAGATATCATATTGTTACTGATTTCTAATTTAATTCTGTTTTGATCAAAAGTACTCTAATATTTTAATTATTTGAGACTGTATATGATTTCTCTTGGTAGACATTGAAAGGAAATTTTATTCACGGTTTTGGAAATTTTATCAATGTCTCTTAGTTCAATAGTTGATGATATTTAGATCTACTATATACATACTGCTAGTTTTGTCTTTTATCTGTTACCAAAAGAATGGTGTTAAAATTTTTTACTATAGTTGTCTTTTTTCTCTTTAGTTTTGTTTTCTTTGCTTCATTTTCTCATACATATGTCTATGATTTTTATGTCTTTATTGAGTTGATATTAATACCATGAAGGGATACTACTGTGTAACCTCATCTCATTCTTCCTTTAACTTTGTCATAGCCATTTTCCTCTAGGAGTTTCAAAATGTTCCTGCATGTATGTGTAGCCAAGCTTTCTGCCATACTTCCCTTTATGGGGCACTCAAGGGCACTGTGTGAAATTCCTACTGTGAAATTGCCTCCCTTTGGTGCCATGTCCTGCAAATTCTACTACAACTGCTCCAAGCTCTGTTCTGTGATACTGTGTGCTAAACCTTACCTGCTTGCTTTGTGTTCAGGAAATTGTCAATACGCAGCTTGGTGGACTCACTTTCTGTCACAGTATAAACTGATACCTGAAAACAGATCCTTCCTATGTTTTCTACAGTTAAAGTTGCTTATAACAGGAAGAATTGTTTACTATCAGTTAATGTGTTATGGCTAGAAGCAGAGGTCTCATTCAGCTTTACATGTAGTAAACAGAAATTTACAGTTTCACCTACAAATAAAAAAAAATATGGCAAACAAAACATTAAAAATAGATTGTTAGAACTTATTGCAAATTTGGGGGTTGCTGAAAATTAACTGGATAACATTTTTTGTTTCAATTTTTGTTATGTCTGCATTGTATAATCAATTTCAGAGACAGGAATTAGTCCTTGGTATTGGTTGTTTTTTTTTTTTTTTTTAATAATTTTTTAGTTGTAGATGAACACAATATCTTTATTTATTTATTTTTATTTGTGGCTGAGGATGGAACACAGTGTCTCACACATGAGAGGCAAGCACTTTACCATTGTGCTACAACCCTAGCCCTTGTTGTCTTTTTTTAATTAGTGACTATCTTTTGAAGTCAAAACCTTTCTTTTTAATTGCAAAGAATAGAAGACCACTTAGATTGTTCAAAGAGGAGTAGGGAGATCATGTAGTAAGGTTGCAGATTTACCACATGATCGAGGTACATTTGAGGGCTGAAATTTCTAAATAAGATGAATGGGACAGAATTTTACAAAAGACTTGAACATTTCATTCATATATTAGAAAATAACTGACTTCTCCATTTTGTAAGGTTGATGCTTGTCAGCATTTCTTAGCCTTGTGGGGGGGAATATATATATATATATATATATATATATATATATATATATATATATATGG